ATCCTTCACCACTGATAATTTAAGAAACAGGCTGTTTTAGAACCATGTGGTTCCATTTGGGATATCTCAGGTTTACTGTTAATAAATACTATACACCTCATTACATTAAAACTACATTTGATACCCATTTGTAGATCTAATATTTACATATCATGTTGTGTGTGTATATATAGTATAATACAACAATATTTAATGCCATAATTTCTTTAAAGCTATTCTGAGTTTATATTCTTCAGTAATTCACACGGGATGGTCATTTTTACACTTTGATGAATTTCACATATTCTCAATGTAAATCTGCATGTGCAGTGTGATGCTTCATATCTTTAAAAATAAACAGAATTATAAGCAATTAAGATCAAAACATCCTTATCCATAAAGTGAACATTTAAAAATAACCACAACAGTCATGTTCCCTTCAACAAAATAATATAAGATTATGATCCAACACTATACTTACTGCCACAGGAGATAGGAAAAGAGCCAGTGCCGCCACCCAGAGTTACTTCAGTTCTAGATCACTGCTTGGCCCAGAGTGGGTGCTTCATACTTGCCACACTAATGAAATGGCATTTCAGAATAAATAATTATGCAATGTATTTTAGTCTATATTGCGTGACAACCTTGAAAGATGTTTCTCCAGAAGAAGTGAGCTTTCTTTACAGGAATACTCATTTCACATTGAGAGAGGCTTGTTCTAGAAGACACTTGCCTGTGAGATGAGGTTTTACCTCTTACTACCTAGGGGACCTTTATCCTCCTCAAATTTCATGGTTTGGATACAATATATCCTTCAAGACTCAGTGTGCAGGGGTGGGGCTTTTGGGAAGCAAAGGAACCACGAGGGCTGTAACTTCCTCAGTGCATTATCTATTGACAAGTTCAAAGGGTAATGGTGTTATTAGGAGACTGGGCCTAGCTGGATGAAGCAGATCACTGAGAGCTTCTCTGATGGCTCTTTGCCCTCTCTGCTTTAGGATGCCATGAAGTGAGCGGCTGTGCTCCATCACTCCTTTCTGCCTTGACATTTTGCTTCATCTCAAGCCCACACAACGGATCCACCTGACCATGGACTGAAACTTCTGTAACTATGAGCCAAAATACATCTTTCCACCTTCAAGGTGACTTTCCCAGGTATTCTGTCACTAAGACAAAAAGCTGACTAACATAAAACCACCACTTCCTCACCAGTGAAAAGAGATACTAATAGAACTTACCTCACAAGCTGGTTGTGAGTAAATGTCATGACATGGTAGACATCTTTCCCTCATACTCAGCACTTAATTAACCCCAAGTAAGTATGAGGAATCAGGTATTATGGAGAAGCATATGAAATCACTGATATTCACCCTTTCTAAACTACAACAGTTTCTTATGGTTTAGCCTAAAGTGTATAGCTTCAAATATACTTGAAAACAATCTCTTTGCTCAAAATAACTCATCAGGCAGAGACTGAGGGGATTCTCTTCCTGTTACCTTCATTGCTTTATCTGCCAACATGTCTTTTGGGCTGTTGCCAGGACTAAGAAAAGCAATGTCTGAAGTCTGGGAAGCAGGTCACACATGGGGAGTATTGTGAATTGTTAGCAGGATCCTACCACACCTGAAGGCAGAGCCTTCCCTCAACATGATGGTTGTAGAGACCTGGTTTCATCTGGTTAGCAAGGAAGTAAAGGGAAGTCCACCTAGTTTAGAAATATTTAAGATTCTACGAAAGAGCATTTCATTACAAGATATAATAATAAGCCAGATTCTGGAAAAGACTCGCTCCATCTATAAACAAGTATTGGCCAAATAATACTGTATGGGTGAGGCTGATACAACTTTACCAATGAGTTAGTGCTGAAGGCCCAATATAATTTCTTTGCTTACCATCAGCACACTCTTATTTTCACCTTTCATGGTGCACTGTGTTCAGGGCTGCATTTCCTAGCCCCCACACCATCACTGCCACCACCAGTGGCACAACTAATACTCTTCTCTCCATGGTAAGAAAATTAATCTCTAAAGTAACTCTGACAGAATTTCTATTCCTGCCCATCTCTTTTCAAAATAATTATTTTTACAGATTTAACTTATATAACTTGGAAAGTGCCAAAATGGTGTCTTTATCCTTGATGTGTAACATTTCATACTTTTTGTTGATAAATTCAAACACAAGATCCAAATCTTGGAACTATTTTAATAGCAAGGAAGATCAAAACACAATTAAATAGTTTCCTAAATACTGCTTTGTATAGCTCTGTTTGGCTAAACTGGTTTATAAAGTAGTTCTAGATTTAAAAACATGTCAGATGATTTTTTTCAAGCAAAGATCCTGTATATTAGCTAGTGTAGATGCATCCTACTGGAAATCATCTTCTATATATGCCTATGTACTTATATTATACCTCCAGATACAACTTTATGTACAAGGGATTTAAACATATGCTCTCAAAAGGAAAGCAATGTCTCACATTTCTTTGCATTCTATATAACACCTAGCATAATACGTGTCTCCAGCACATATTAGGAACTAAATGTTTGCTGAGCTAAATCATGTAAGAAATTCAAGGAAACTAGCAATGTCAGTTCTCACATGAAAATACACCAAGTTAAGCAGTAACTTCTAATGTTAGAAGATCAAAAGAAAAGTCACAAAAGTCACAGGAAATTAATGCAAGAATATCAGATTAATTTTCAATTAAAGTGAAGGTGAACTACACTTGCTCAATGAAGAGAAGATAAGGTTCTAAGATTTAACACACAACATTAGGTGAAATGCATATGTCTTCAAACAGAAGTGCCTATTTCCCTGAGATGCGGAATGCATTCTCTAAAGGCTAATGGCACATGTAAGTAACATCACAGGCAATGCAAGAAATCCTAGTACACAGACAGTTATAAGGTTTAGCTAAGTATTCCCAAAGGCTAAAAGCTTAGTCTCCAGCTCAGTGTTACTGGAGACAAGGAAACCTTTAAGAAATTGAACCTCCTAGAAGGAAGTTAGGTCACTGAGGTAAGCCCTCAAATGGGACATTGGGACCCCAGCTTATCTCTACCTCTCTTTGCTTCCTGGCTGCCATGAGGTGAGCACTTTGCTCCACCTCATGCTCCCACCATGATGTTTTGTCTTGCCACAAGTCCAAAAGTGCTAGGGCCAATAGAGCAGGGCCAAAAGCTCCAAAATTAGGCTGCTAGGCTAAACTGTTCCTTTTAAAAATTGATTATCCAAGTATTTTGTTACAGTAACGGAAAGCTAAAAGGTGGAGATATTAATATAAGACTCTGCTCATCAACACTAGATGACTTAGTAAGGTTGTCATGAAGGAATCAATGTGGGGTTTCCTCCTGCAAGTGCCAAGAACAAAAGAATGCCTTGCATTTTTCTGTAATTCTGGTGGATGAAATGGAAAACCAAAGATCACCCAGTGCTGAGCTCAGAAACAAGCTATGCACAAGATACACAATCTGCTGTGGCAAAGGGGGCACTGTGTGAGTTTATTCAGAGCAGTGAGAAACTAAGGGTGACAATTATCTGTGTTCTGTTAGTATTGAAAACAAGTTCATAAACCTCCATTCTTCTGTATTCACTAAGACAATGCTATATAACTGAGGCAGGAAAGGGTTAGGTAAATAAAATAACCATTAGTTCTAAAATTATTTTTAAAAAGTTTTATGTGGTGAAATCAAACCTGTGAGAGAATTTGATCATGCTGGTTTATCAACATTAATTTATCTTGAAGGCAAATTCTTCAGCTAGATTTTAGGATCATATTATCACAGGATGAACTATGGAATCCTGCACTGACCCTTCCAAAGCTCAATTTTACTAGTTTCAGGACGTTCAAATGTGTAACTTAATAGTCCATTTCAAATGCTGCAAGCCTCACGCTGAAACCCGTCCAGTTCCTTAGAGTAGTTCTAAACCGAGTGTCTCAAAACTCTAAAGTGCTCCTCATGGAGCAGCAATGTTCCAGTCTTTGACTTCTCCATGTCCCCCACTTCTCCCCTTCTCTTGGGGAACCTCCAGCCCTTGGACAGTTTCCTAATCCTTGCCTCACTGGCAGTAAATGAACCCCACAGGTAGGTGTTTTCAACTGGCCATTGTGAGGAATGAGAATAATACTTAATTTTCAGGTAGCACTTCACAATTAAGAAAGGGATCTCTGAAACTTTTTCTTACTTGCTTTTAATTTTAAAAGGTCTTATGTTGATTCTGCATAAAGAAGTAGCAAAGGGAGCTTTGAGAAGCCCTTTAGAGCTTATAGACACCAGACTGTAGTGAGCTTTTTGTACTTTATTCTTGTTTCATTCAATGGCTCACCATGGCAAGAGAATGACCAATGGCTAAGGGCTACCTGTGGCCATGCTGTTACCCCACCCTTCTTAGTGAAGACATCTGGTCTGCCCCTTGGCACAAAGACTCTGATCTCAACCAAATAAGCACCTCTATCCCAAGAAGAAACAAAAACTATATAAAGAGTCAACAATTCATACTGCTAGGAAGGCAGTCAGAAAAACAACAGTTGGATTAAACTGAGTTCTATGTGTAGCTGGCTTGTCAGATTTAAGATATAATAAGTCCAACGAAGCCTAACCATGACTAAAATAAGTATCTGCCTTTGGCTTCCAAATCTTGAAAAAGCAACAATGATGCAATACTGTAAATCTGCAGTTAATTAATTCCAAGTTTTTGTGCATCAAGTTTATACCCTCATTCTATATTACATGCCATCTGTCTGTGGCGAATATTTAGTTCCCGCATCTTGCTTCCTAACCCTTGGAACAAAAGATCTTAAAATATCAGAAAAATATCCCAATAGGCCAGAAGGAGATAAGCACTTATATTTCAAATAAACTGATACCACTGCTTTATAATCTTCTGCTGCCATCTCCTGTGTTAATGAAGCAGCACTTTTACATCATGAAGAGAAATAATGGTGTCTAACAGGAATTATTCTTACCAGTCAGTCAAATGGCAAATTCTCTAAAGAGGAAAAAAAGCTTAATTCTGTTACCTCTAAGTGACTTCGCCTCTCAGCAATCACACGTTCATCTTTGTTTCCAAATAATTTTTTTGGAGGGAATTCAAGGCCAGCAAGCTGAAATATATATTTTAAAATATTCATTAGTATTATACTTAGGATCTTTGGGCTACTATTATTTGCAATCTCTATCATGGGATGAAAGAAAAAAGGATGAAAATTTAAAGATTGTGGGTCCTATTTTGCCTTGTTATTCAAGATCTATCTACTTTTAACCCAAAACAGATCTGGAGGTTCAGATTTCTCAGTGGACAAATGAGAAGACATATTGGTGAGGACACTAAGGAAGGATGGACCTGATGTGTCACAGGGTATTTTACAATTTTAGTTCTTTAAAACACAAGTTTGTTCTTCCAGTCCCCTTCTTTACTAAAGTTTAATTTCTTCTGTGCAGAAAGTAGAATTGGAAACCACAACCTACATGTCAGCATCTAGCACTTTGTAAAAATCATTCACAGGCAATTGTTTTTCTAATTAACTTTATTGGTACATTTAATGTATACAATATAATGACATTCATAGTTGGAAATTTGTACCTTTACATAATCAATCTTGGTTCTTATTTTTTCCCCATTCCCCTGCCCTCCCTTCAATCCCTTCCTCCCTCCATATCTACAAAGACTTTGTTTCCATTATTTTCATTTTCTCAAACAATTGTCAAGGACCTGTAAATATTCCACATTGCCTTTTCTCTGTCATTATTGTGACTTAAAACTGTCATGTGAAAAGTTGGCTTCCAATGGAAACTTTCACCTTATTTCCTAGAAAGTGATGCTGCTGACCTAGTTTTAGCTAGCCCTAAAATTTCAATCATTTTTCTTATGCTTTTCTTCTTCGGGTATAAAAATCATAAGTTTTATTACAGACTCCCAAGCTAGAAAGGACTCTAATCTGGGGAGACCCTGCCCAACCAGCGTGGCTTTGGCTGAGTGAATGCTAAGTAGCAGTAACTGCTGTGGTGGTAAGAGCTCACTATTTTCTTCCTTTCTCAAATTGTTAGAGCCTGACAAATAGAAGCCAATGAAGCAATATTAAGAAAAAAAAAAAAAGAGCATTTTTTCCCACAAAGTATAGATCACACTATGCCACAGAATTTCTATTTTATACTATGCTAATCACTAAGTTGATTTAAGTTTATATTGCTATGGCAAGAGTCAAAACCTTAAGATAGCATCGGTATATATCAGACTTTAAAAACACAGTATTAAGCTATACCAGACATACTGACATATACAAATAATGAAAGAATAAGCTGAGGAATTTTCAAACTCTCAACACACTGTGTAGCCTACCCAGGAGAAGAAATGGAACCCTGCCGGCTCCGCTGGAACTTCACCGGCTCCCTCAGTCACTAATGCCACCCAACTGGCTTCTAACAGCAGAGTTCAGTTCTTTCTGTTTTTGAACTTTACCTGAATGCACTGCGCAGTACAGAGTCCTTTGTGTTTACCTCCTTTTGCTCAATATCACATTTCTAAGATCTGCCCATGCTACTATGTTTAGCAATAGTTTTCTCATTCTGAAGCTGTACAGCATTCCATTACATGAACCTTCTATGATTTACCGGCTCATTGTTTTGTTACTGAGCTCTTTCTTCATTTACAGTGCTTGTGGGGGTACAGTGCTTCTGTGAACATTTCCATACAGATCTTCTGATGGGCATATGCATAATTTCTGTTGGTCATACTCTTACGAGTGGAAATGCTGGGTCCTATGGAAGGCATAAGTTCAGCTGTATTCACAATTATGGAATAGATTTTCCAATGTGGTTTTACCAGCTGACCAAAAGTGGCTGAGAGATCTGGTTGCTCCATAGCCTAACCAGCACTTAAAACTAGACTTTGCCATCCTAGCAATTCTGGTGGATAGGGAGTAATTTCTATGGTGATCACATCTGCATTTCTCTGATGATGAATGACAGTGAGCATCTTTCCACAGACTCATTGAGCATCTGATCAGTTTTAGGAATTGTCCATGTAACTCTTTTGCTCACTTTTTCACTGACTTCAGGGTGCTGCTGACTTTATTGTCCTATTTCAAAGTTAACTGCCAGATGGAAAGATACTTGTTCCTTTTACATTCCAGTGCACTAACAAAGCAGAGAAACCTTACAGTGGGTGGAGTTAGCACTCAGGGATGGGTTTAGTTTCTCACCAATGTTCCAAATCTGCTGCCGATATTCAAATTTAAAATGAATTCAAGGTAAAGTGAAAGACATGGGCACTGAGAGAAGACATTCAGTTTAAATTTGGCTTGACCACTAAACTAGCCAAAAAGCTGTTTCTGAGCCTGGTAACCTCTATAAACACACAGACACAATACTGAACAGGTTTCCACGGGAGATGTAATCAAGAATGGAGAATCACACAATTACAGTGTTAGAGAGAACTACCACACAAGCATGAGGCCTGCATGCTTTCTCTTCACCACAGGGCTGGTGATGTGGTTGCAAAGAGGCCTTCTGGAAGCTAGCCCTGCTGGCACAAGCACTTTCTCCCATGTTCTCAGCTTTGCCTGGCCTCAGTTTTATCAGATACAAATGTGCTCCAACGATGCAATGATGCTAGAAGCTGGCAAGCATACTTTCACAGTGGGTTGTTTTGTCATTTTCTTTGGTGACCGATGAGGTGATTGCTTTCTGTCAGGGGAGATTTATATTCACACTCCCATGCACAATCAGGAACAGTGCACTGAGAGAACTTCAGGCAGTTGCCCCAGGCAAGGAGTAAGCATTCAAATTTTCTCTCATGGTATTTGCTACCTAGATGGGATGAGTATTTCCTGCTACTAATATCCAGCCTAGGATATAGCTACACACAAACTGTGGGCAACAGTGTTGTTCAGCTTTTAAGGAGAAAACATGAAATGACTTTCAGGCATAGCTAGTCATAGGACAATGACATGCACCAGTTTTAATGCAGAGTTAAAGAAAGGCAGCGAGCGAGGTGCAAAATCATGGAGTGGCAAAGTGGAGGTGAAGAATCAATCAGGCCAGGGCCTAGGTTTTTGGTGAGAACACTATAAAGGAAGTCTGCAATGGATGGAAGAAGCTGCTATGAACCCTCTGGGCTCTTCAACAGAGATAAAGAAAGAAATTCATCCGTAAGTCCTAAGTGCACTAAAACAGAAACATCAATGCACAGCTGCTATGCAGTGCTCAACAATCCCAAGAGTTGTCAGCAGAACCCTGATGAGGACCTGTACCCCAACAATGGAACAAAAGAAAGGGGTTGGCAATAGCAAGAAGGAAGGGAAAAGGGGAAGGGTTTGCAGGGAGCTCCAAGTCCATTCCAGGACACACATATTAGTTCGCTTCTTTCACCTCACGTGTCTCTAATTAAGACATGAGTGTAAGGCTGGATATCCTCATATTTAGTTACAGAGAGGGGGGAAAGGAACAGGGGCAGAAGCTCCAATGTGATTCACAAAAGAAATACAGCTGATGGCCCATGTCCTCATAATGGGCTAGGACATGAACAAACTAAAGTAAAAAGTCAAAGGCGTGATATAAAGTACACAGAAAAAAGATGCCTCCATTACAGTAATTATATCTCAATAGAAACAGCTTTTTGATTGCAGCCCCAGAGAATCCCTTCTCTCTGACAGAGTGAAAATTACCTACATCTTTCCCCTTTAGAGAATCTTAACAGTATTGTTTAGGTCTTGCTATCTATTAGCTCAGGATGAATATGATGAAACTGTCAATTTTGCAAGTTAAATAGTACTGGATATGAGCAATTTTATCTAGTTAAACCCTGTAAAAATTTGGACACTTAAGTTACTGCTGAGGTCACCCAAATTTCCATCAGTTGTATTATCTCCCAAGCAAAAGTATTCTCATTTGACAGACAGCTGATGGGCTCTATCTAAACAAATCCATTTCAAAAGAATACTATTTTTCTTCAAATGCTAAAAAAAATCAAAACCAAAAACTAGGTATATCTTACATTAAAAAGGATGCAACGTTAAAACAGCTGAGGAGTTGGGATAGCAAGCACAGAAAACCTTACGGGGAAAATATAGTTTCCTCCTTTACCTGTGGTTTTACTTTCTGTAGTCTGAGTTACCCTTGATCTGAAAATATTAAATGGGAAATTCCAGAAATAAATAATTCATAAGTTTAAAACTGCATGCCATTCTGAGTAGTATAGTGAAATTTCAAATGATATCACTCTGTCCTACCCAGTCTGGAAATCATCTCTTTGTCCAGAGTATCCACTCTATGTATGCTACCTACCTGTTAGATGCTTAGCAGCCATCCTGTTACCAAATCAGTGAATGGAAGACTACAGTGCTCATGTTCAAGTGTCCCTTATTTTACTTAATAATGGCGCCCAAAATGTGTTAAGTAGTGATATTAGCAACTAAGATGTGCCTAAGAAAATCTATAGTACTTCCTTTAAATGAAAAGGTGAAAGTTCTTGACTTGTGTCTTAGTTACTACCTTGACACTGGGACAAAATATCCAAAACACAGACTGAGGAAAGGTTTACTTTAGCTCAGTTTGTAGAGGTTTCAGTCCATAGTCATTTGGCTCCAAGCAGGGCTGCAGGCAGAAGACAAACAGTCCACACCAGGGTAGGCTGGAGACGGTGGCAGCCTTCCTTCTGTTTTCCTTTTATTCTACCCAGGCTATCAGCCTATTGGTTGGTGCCACCCACACCCAGGGTAGGGCTTCTTTCTTCAGTAAATCCATCACCTACAACTATGCTAAACCAATTGATGGACTAATCCAGTACTATATACTCACAATCTAGCTATCTCCCAAAGGCTCCATCTATGAGCTCATGAGGCTAGTGGGACATCTAAATATAAGCCACAACAATAAGGAAAGAAAAAACTTGTATGTTGAGTTTGCTAAAATCTACAGAATAATATTTTGAGAGTATGAGAGATGAAGGAGGTGGGAGACAGTGGGAGAGTATGAGCAAATATGTTCTTATATTTTATTACAATATAATGTTATAATCATTCTACTTTAGTACATTGTGGTTAATCATCTCTAATTTATAAATCAAACTTCATCATAGGTATGGCTTATGTAGGAAAAACCCATC